TTTGTCGAGGCAGATTTTGAAATTAGGGTTTCAGTATTTTGTGCATTTTCGAATTTGGGGTTTCAATTTGTTGTGCATTTTCGAATTTAGGGTTTCAATTTGTTGTGCATTTTCGAATTTAGGGTTTTAATTTAGGGTTTCGAATTTAGTCCTGAATCTATTATGTCAAATTAGGTCATTTACGAATTGAAATCATTTTTTGAAATTACGGTTTCAATTTGTTGAGGCTAAGTATTGGTTTGTTGTTTGCTCTGAATTCATTATACAGAAATCAAGTTTAGTGAAATTAGGACATTTGCAAATTAGGGCATTTTCAAATTAGGGCATTTTCGAATTAAAATCAGTTTTAGGGTTTAGGGAATTTTGTTCCTGATTCTATGATGGCTTTTTTTTTGGGTCCTGATTCTATTATTGGTTTTGCAGGTGATAGCTTTTGTTTTTGATGTTAGAGTTGGGGGAGAGATAAAGTTTTTGCCATTTATGCACTACTTTGGTGGCCATCGAGTTGCAGTTGACTTCTATGACATGGATAGGTTATCCATGTTTGAACTTTTTGATGTATATAAGAAGGCAGGGGGAAAAGCCAGCGCAGTTGATATATTTTCTCACAAGCCTGGCAAGAATTTAAAAAAAACAAAGAAGTTGTTGAAGATTTCCAGTGACAATGACATTTTAAAGCTGGTGAAAAAATATGAAGGGCAGGATGTGATACCTCTGTACTTTGAAGATTTGCAAGGCCCTGTACTGATGATGGACAAAGATGGCACTGTGTTATCTTCACAAGATGAGGTCCCCCTTCTTGAATATCCATACACTGAGGAGGACGCTCTTATAGACCAGTATTGGGACGAAGAAGCTGAAAAAGATGATGGTGCTGGGGCTACTACTTGTGATCAAACAGATGATGGTGCTGGGGCTGCTACTTGTGATCAAACAGATGATTGTGTTGGGGTTGCTACTTGTGATCAAACAGATGATGGTGCTGGTTCAGATGATGGTGCTGGTGAAGAGACACCTACTGCTGGGGCTAATGCAGATGATGGTGATGGTTTAGGGGCTGAATCAGATGATGGTGATGGTGCTGGGGCTGATGCAGATGATGGTGTTGGTGCTGGGGCTGATGCACATGATTGTGAAGAGACACCTACTGCTGGTGTAAGGAGCACCTTTTCACATGATGAAGGACAATCCCAAACACCTGGTGTTGGCCATGAAGATGATCATTTTGCATCTGGAGTGGCAGAACAACTATTTGGAGAATCGGATGATTCTGAAGATTCAGAGTATGAGCCACAAGAAGATAGTGGTGAATCCTCAGATTTATCTGAGTGGGAATTGGAGGATCTTGAAGGCCATGATGATGATGATATATTTCAAGAGAGGGCACATGATCATGCTAAGAAGGTACACAAGAGGGCAAGAGAATGGCTGAAACAAAGAAGAAAGCAGAAAAAAAAAGCAAGAAAAAAGTTGAAGGTTTAAGAACACATACAGAGGAAGGTTGGTTTATTCTTTGTGCATTTTATTTATTTTTTTTTTTTGTGTTCCTGACCTAATATTTATCTGTTTTGACCCTGAATTCATGTTATGTGCAGGTTGGTACAGTCCACCTGAGGATGATGATAATTGCCTTGAAGAGCCTGATGAATGAAAAGAGGTTGCTGATATGTCAAGGTTTGAGCTGAATGTTGGTCAAAAATTTCCATGCAGAGCAACATTCAAGGAGGTGATCAGAGATTGGTCAGTTAGAAAGGGCTATGATTTGAAGTTCCCAAAGAATGAAGCAAAGCTAATCACATCAATCTGTAAAAGTGGGTGTGACTGGTCCTTGAGGGCCTCTGTTATTGGAGGTTTGTCAACATTTCAGATCAAGACATTGAAAGGCAAACACACTTGTGCTTACAGGACAGAGAACACTCAAGCAGACTACAAGTATCTAGGAAGAAGGATGGTGGATACTTTGAAGGACAATCCTGGTGAGACTTTGGCAAGTCTGAAAAACAAGATTAAGAGACATTGTGGGGTTGAGGTTAGTATGCACAAGACATACAGGGCCAAAGTGTATGGTCTTTCACTTTTGAAGGTTGACCATGGGGAGCAGTATAAAAGGCTGTATGACTACTGCTCCACAGTAGCCAAGTACAATCCTGGTAGCTCTCTTATCCTCAAGGTGAACAAAGATTTTTCACCTCCAAAGTTCATGAGGATGTATGTCTGCTTGGCTGCAATGAGACAAGCATTCTTATCTGGCTGCAGGCCAATTATTGGACTGGATGGATGCTTTCTGAAGACTCTTCATGGTGGTCAACTTCTTTCAGCAATTGGTAGGGATGGAAATGACAATATGCTACCAATTGCAATGGCATATGTGGAGGTTGAGAAGACAGATTCTTGGAGGTGGTTCCTGGAAAGGCTAATGA